AAGCAGTTCGCTGCTGATTACTACGCCCCCCGCATTACTACCGAATATCCGGAGCCCGAAAAATGGTATTCGGGACAGCCCTAGATCATTCTGCTTCAGTTTGTGGGCTACAGCCAGTTTATGGTAGCAGCACGTTAACAGCTTCATCCTTTGATCAGACCCCCGTATACCCCAGTCAGCGCCCCTAGTTACACCAATGAGCGTGCGATTACCGTACAGCCAATCACAATGCGTGACGTCATTGGTAAGCGACGGACCCCGAACACATATGGTAGGCCGAACACATATGGTACTGACACCGGCCAGCCCCTCCCTACAGGCAGATCACGCAGACTGCTAAAGTTTAAAAAGTTCTCTTTAGTTCAGTTTCCATTGTCGCATAAAACTGATCCAGATAGCTCTGACCATGGCTGTCCTCTGTCTCCTGCTATCTGTATTTTGCGCAGTATATCTCTGAACGATGCGATGGTGATTCCACTGTGCAAATGGGCAACATTACCTCTACTATGAAGGATGCTCCAAGCCTGTCCATCTCTGCTTTGGTTACCGGTCCTCCAAATTCTACTTTGTGCTGCTTCGGTCCGCGGCGGCGACTCACAACATCCTCACTCTGGGTTCGGGGGTCCGGTCCTTAGCTATTAGCTTCACCTTAGCATGTGTTCTTTGCAGGTGTTTGTTGAGGTTTGACGTGGTGTTTGCAGCAGTGTATAACAGCTTCTGGCCTGGACACAGTTTGCACCTCACCGTCACATTCCTGTCTATTCTTCGGACGAACTCAAAATAATGGGCATACCTCCACCCCTCGAAAGTTATCGCTGACTCTGCCATGTTTATGCAGCACTGCACGTGGAGATGTGGACGCGCAAGTCGCGCAGATTACGTACATATAAACCTGCGGCGGAAACCCCTCTTGTCTGTCAGTGTGATTATGACTGATTTTATAAAAGTAACGAAGTAACGTGTGTCGGGGCAATGTTAGTAACTGTAGTGTGATTACTGAATTATAAAAGTAACGCGTTACACTACTCCGTTACCGACAAAAGTAATATTATTACAGTAACGCGTTACTTTGTAACGTGTTACTGTAATAATATTACTTTTGTTACTTTGTAACGCGTTACACCCAACTCTGCTCACCACGTAGAACTTATCAAGGAGAAAATGGCACCCAGTGGGTGTTTCTCAATGTCGAGGACGCTTGCTTGGTAGCACATGTCTTCCGAATCACTTGCTTCAGAAGCGAGGCAAGAATCCTTCCTAGCCTCGGAAAACGAAGAATTGTGTAACAGGCTAACAGGTGTGCAGGTGTGTGTCATATGCGAGGCTCCACCTTAAATGGAGCGCGATTTCCGCCAAAGATTTGGAAATTGGTCCGTGCACAAAGCATTGTGGGGATTTTAAGACCGCGGAGTCTACACATGTGCAGCCTCGAAATTTCTCGCTACGAAGTACGCCGGCCTCGTAGAATTCCAAGTATGCTGGACATTGGAACAGTCCTTCGGCAGCACTCAATGGCGTAGTATGCTTGAAATAGTGGCTCTGGAGCAGCCTTCCTCGACATTGAGAAACACCCAGTGTCTCTTGTCTCCAACCGAATAACTGAAATGCGGGAGTGCCTGCGCGTGCCTTGCGTGGGTGGAGCTTAATTACATCTCTGCAGGGTTAGTTCCAGGGGCGTCGCCTGGACCTAAAAACATTCGGGGCTTAGCCCACAGTGGCGGCGGCACTACAGTGGCATTTTTTACTGCAACACTCCCCACACGCACACACACAGTACACCCGCGACTGTTACAATGAAGGCTCGATAATCAGCTCACGGCATATAGGCAGGGGTAAAGTGGTATTTTTTATGAGTGGGGGGCTCACCTCCTCTAGGGGGGTCCGGGGGGATGCTCCCCCGGGAAGATTTTTTTTTAAATATTGAAGTTAAATGCATCAATCTGGTGCACTTTGAGAGCAAAATGAAGAGATCTATGGATACCTCTCTCAACACCAAGCAGAACTGTAAACAGATGTACTTTTTCTTTATGGATATTTTACTAATCACTCCCCTTTTAAACTCTATTCTTGTTTTACTGCCATATAGTATTTCATAACTGTTTTTCCTTTATTCTCTTTTTTTTAATAACTATAATGATCATATGAAGGTGTGCCGCGGAAATAATCTTTTGAATAATTTGTGACCAAACCGTTTGAGACCCACTGAGATAACTTAGACTAAAGTTAACTATCTAAACACTCAGAGAGTCCTTTAGCTCAGTGGTTCTCAACTGGTCAGGCCTCGGGACCCACTTTTTACTTGGTCAATACATCGTGACCCAACATTTTGAAGCACTCAAATCTATTCAACAAAAAATCGTGCTGTAATATATATATACGCTTTTGAGCATACAATATTAATAAAAGTGAAGTACAGTGCATATATCCCTTATATCCCTTCACAGAACTAAAGTATGCTTTTAAAAAAGGTTTAATGAGATGATGGAATCAAAGCTGAACTATATAAAAAGGCACACATGCTGAAACCCAACCCCAACAGGGGGGTCTGGGGGGATTCTCCCCCAGGAGATTTTTAGAAATACTAACATAAACTACGCATTCTGGTACACTCTGAGAAGAAAATCGGGCCTTCAAAATAAAAGTTTGACTTTTTCCCAAAAAAAAAAAAAAAAAAAAAATCAAAAAAAGAATTTCCAACTTTTTTTTCTTCACTCACACATCCGCGACCCACTCGAAACGGGTCCGCGACCCACTTTTGGGTCGCGACCCACCAGTTGAGAACCACTGCTTTAGCTCACCTGAGTCTCTCAGTCTGAGAGGAGAGGACTCTCCTCCAGCTTCTTGTGGAACAAACAGCTCCTTATGTCCGTTAGTGCAGCTAGCTAACCAGATGCTAACAACACGGTACATGCTGACACCGGTCCCTCCCTCCCCCTCTCTCCCTCTCTCTCTCTCTCTCACTCTAAATTAGAGATGGGCGAGTCCTGATTCATCCGGATCATTAACCCGGATCCTAGAAATGAGCTGGTCATGACGAGTCTCCCCTCTCCATTAACCCGAGTCCTTGAGTCCCACACTTGGTGTGACGTACAAATTAAAACTATAAATTGCGTCACTCGCTACTCTCTTTATAACATGTAAAATCACATTACAACGTACCCCAAGTCCATCTACCTACCCTTTAGCAAGTATACAGGATAGCTGCCAGAAGTGATCGTTTGGCTCAGGGGAGGGGACGCGGATCAGTGAAAGTTCCTGCAGACTCGTGGGGACTCAGAGGAGCCGACGGCTCCAACAGCAGACTCGCAGATTCGCAGATTCGCAAATCCTGACTCGCTGCAACACACAGCAGACTCGTGCGGACTCAGAGCCGTATATAGCAGCAGATCCAGAGATCCAGCAGACTCGTCGTCATGCACGAGTCCACACAGCAGACTCGGATTCGCAGATTCGCAAATCCTGACTCGCTGTGCAACACACAGCGGATCAGACTCGTGCGGACTCGGAGCCGTAACCATATAGCAGCAGATCCAGAGATCCAGCAGACTCGTCGTCATGCACGAGTCCACAGCAGACTCGGATTCGCAAATCCTGACTCACTGTGTGTGCAACAGACAGCAGAGCAGACTCGTGCGGACTCGGAGCCGTATATAGCAGCAGATCCAGCAGACTCGTCCTCATGCACGAGCAGACTCAGATTTGCCAAATCGCAAAATAACCCTTTTTTTTGTGATCAACATTTTTTATTAAAGCAAAATACACTGTGTAGCGGAGGTTAATTATAACGTCAGTTTAATAGATAGATAGATAGATAGATAGTACTTTATTGATCCCAAATTGGGAAATTGTTGTTGTTACAGCAGCATAAAAGGCATTTTACAATAAAACAAAACTACAAAATATACAAGAATAGAAATAAAAATAAAATGTCGAATGTCGAAATAGAAAATATACATGCAGATATTATATATATATATATATATACAAATATATATATATATTCAAAATATATGGAATAATAATATGCTCGTGAAATGCAACAACTTTTCGGTTTCACCAATAGGATTTCTACGGTCTTGGTCATGCTGACTCATATGACTCAAATGACTCGTATGATCCGGATCTCTTCAATGACTGACTCAGAAGACCCTGAGTCCGTAAAATGATCCGGATTTGCCATCTCTACTCTAAATGCGCTATTGCCACACACACACACACACAGAGCCGAGCTTGAATGACACAAGCACACGTTTATTTCCATGCAACTCTCTGATTGGTCTGGTGTCATGCCTCTGTTGCATTCACTGAACACGGGACATTACAGTGCTGCCGTCCTCTCTTGTGTCATGATGAGGTTCACATAAAGCACGGTTAATGTATTATATTATTGAGGGAGAATTGTCCGGGGCTACAGAAAAAACATTCGGGGCTAAAGCCCCGGATGCCCAGGCCAGGCGACGCCACTGGTTAGTTCAGTGATCAACTCTTTCAAATAAATCCAACACTGAACACCATTTGAATCATAAAGTGTTAAAATTACACTTTTGGAGTTAAAATCAACTCTCAAATGTTTAACCCTGAAATATCAACACTCCAATTTTTGCTGTGATGGGAAGATGTTTTTGTCCATTACAGCTTTGAGGGTTTTACGTAGTACAGAAAGTTATTTGGTATCCAGAGTTATATGCACATTTTAAGTTACTTTACTGCTGTAAACTTGCAATCATAGCACCAGGATTTTAACTGCCCAGCCAAACTGCTGTTTTTCGATTTTAACCTTCATGAGTTTGTAAACAGGACGTCTGTAATAATTATTTATTAATCTATTTGTGAAACTGAGGGCTCTAATATAACATTTTAGTCACATTTTTATGATTTTAAGCGGAAGCATTTAGTGGGTGTGTGCAGCTTGTGGACTTCCGCTTCCTGTGATGCCTTGTTGCTATAGCAGCCTCACAACACGGAGCACGTGAAGATGGAGTACAGCACAGCCGCTCGTGTCAACGATTCAGTAACACAGTTTAAAGTCTACGAAGATTATCTCGACTCAAAAGTCAAGCCAATGGATTTATTTTACCTAAAAGTGAGTCACTCTGCTATAAACTTGTGGCGTAATTCCTCTCTGAAACGTTAAATGTCTTTCTCAAGGTAACCCCGTTCTGTTTTGAACATTATGTCAGAACCGCATTCGCTAAACTGACAGTTTTAGGTAATCTTTGTAATAATGCAACAGTGCACGTTACAAAAACGTAATTTTTCACTTTAAAAAACATCATCCAGCCCCTGTTCACAATTGCTGGCTTTTCCATGGTGATACATTTAGTTGTTGTAGTGCAAGTGGTCGCACGCTAGGTGGCAGTCATACACAGTTTTGATTGAAGCGATTTAGACAGTAGAACAGGCAGCTACCACCAATGCCCATTTGAAATGTGCTTCACTCATTCATAATTTCAAAACACACAAGACAACCACAGCATGATTATCATTGATACAAAAAAAAATGTGTAAATAAAATGTAAAGACCAAAATTCACAAAGAAGTCTGCGTATCCTCTGCCCTAGAAGTGATAGTTGGGCCAATATAATTTACTCCTGGCAAAAATTAAAACTCTAGCATGATCAATAGAATTTTCTTAAATGTACAAGACATTGAGAGACTACACATCTTAAAACTTTAAAATTATTTTAATTGTCTAGTTTTGAGAATTTAAAAAGTCTTAATCGTCTACTTTGCAAGTGCTGTTATTACCTGAAGTGTATAAAATGTAAAATGTGTGTTTTTATTGAAGCAGGGTTTTTTCTAGAAAAATATAGTATTAGGGTGCTGATCTTGTATATAAGATATATCAATTATCGTGAGAACATGACGGCCGTATACAAGATGGCGCTGCAGACATAAACAACAGCCTGATGTTGGCATTCCGTAAAAGTAAAGCTGTCTATGCCGTCTGACGGTCTATTTGACACGATTTTCATATTTTTGAGTAATTATACAGTTATTTGACAAACAGAAATATTGTTTTCTGGCATCACATTAACATTTTAGAGGGAACATCTGCATTTTGGTATGAGGGCTCACGCCGAAAGTAAGAGGGCGCAGCACCCCTGTTACCTGGTTTAGACAAAACCCTGAAAGGAATTGTCTGTGTTGCTACAAGTTTGGAATTTCATGTCAAGGGGAAAACTCTGAATCATAATTCATAATTATTTGCTTTTATGTTGCTCTCTTCTGGTTTTTGGTCACTGGTACACAACTACTTCTAGATAGGCTTGAAATGAACCTACTAATAGGCAGTCCTGCTTTTGCCCAGCAGATGGCCCACTTGCTAATGATTTGCTAGCTGCTGTCACTGACCACTTTGTTTGAACACCTGTGTCCACACAGAGAAGAGAAGAACTCATATCTGCCCTGATAATCAGCTGCAGTCAATCACTATCTAACTCCATCACCCCCGTGTTGTGACACACCACAGTCGGCCCAGGTCATCTAACCTGTGCGGTCACACTGATATGGACTAAGTTCTGATAAATTGGCTAATTATAAACTTAATTTTCTGTTTTTAAGAATTTGAGTAATTGTGACTCAGAAAAGTGAAGTAGTTAAAGAGGTTTTAATACAAGGTCAGTATAGCTTTTGCCAGAATAGATGTCGCTGAGTATTCATCCAGGTCCTGATGTGTTCAGTACAAGAAGCAGCTCAAACACATAGACCTATTAAATTACATTACATTACATTGCATTTAGCTGACGCTTTTATCCAAAGCGACTTACAATAAGTGCATTCGACCAAGAAGATACAAACTTGAAGAAAACAGAATCATATAAGTACATCAGGTTTCATAGAGCCACAACATTTCAATTGCTACTCAACTGGCTTTAGATAAGCCAGTCCTTTATTAGTATATAAGTGCTTTGTTAGTAATTTTATTGCTCGAAGTGGAGTCAAAAGAGATGAGTTTTTAGTCTGCGCCGGAAGATGTGTAAGCTTTCTGCTGTCCTGATTTCAATGGGGAGCTCATTCCACCATTTTGGAGCCAGGATACAGTGGCGTAACTATCGCCGGTGCAGCCGGTGCAACGCACCGGGGCCCACAACCGGCCAGGGCCCCAATGGCATTGACCGGTTCACGCAGTCTTCAAAGTAACCAGGCAACCTAAATTAATTAGTAATTTGTCTGTCCAATGACCTTACTCCCTTTCATGCAGGGCCGGTCCTTAGCATTGGCGTTATAGATGTTCGCCTAGGGCGCCAGATCTGGCGGGGGGAAACATTTTTGACCGTTGGTGCTCATCCTAATTTTCGGCCTTGATGTAACAACATTCATAATTAAGTAAATGTAACACCCTTTTCACCCCGGTTACACTTTTCATTTGCCCTGTACGATGGGCGCTGTAAGTGATGAAAGTGGGGGACGTTGGCTTATCTGGCGCCCGCAGCTCACAGCCAAAGTGCGAGCGAGCGTGGGAGCGAGGTACCGGCACTGTTGTTATTAGCACCTGGTGCTAGCTGCGCTAACGGATATAAGAAGATGATGTTTCTACAACAAAGGTGGAGGGGAGCTCTCTCCTGACAGACTAATGCGGCTTTCACACCAGCGCTTTTCCCTTTCTAGCTCCGAGCTAGAGCTTTTCTGGTTCAGCTCCGGTTTCCCTTTTCTGCTCCCGCTTTGTTCACACCACTCAGAGCCGGGATGGTGCTGCCGCTGCTGCCGCTGCTGCGTCATGACGTCACCGTTTACATCGCTGATTTGCTCCCCAACCGCGCTCACAACAACAACAACGGGGGACTGCGTCGGGTCGATGATCGTGTTGCTTTTAATCATACGAAGCCAGATTAAATTAAATAACGACTTCTCCAACCTTATACTTTTCTCCAGAGTGCCGTGGTTCATTGTTTATTAATGTGTTTCAGCGGCATTTACCGACCGCTGCAGTGCTGGCTGCTCTTCCACGGGAGTTTATTCTCCCGTTAGCTCCGGGTTAGCTCACACGGCTCTAAAGTATTCACTGTCTGACTGTCACACAAGCAGCTGATACATATCCCCAGTTCCCCTTAAGTGAATGTGTGTCAGTCTGAATTGACGCTGTTTGGCATCACAACGCTGTTATGAAAGTTTCTCTGGTATAACATGGGTGATGTTAGCATAGCAACCGAAGCTAACTGACTACTTGCTAAGCCGTTTTCTACAGGCACATTTTACCGGCGTATTTTTCATTATGATTCTACTTGTGATAGTCGGACATGACAACCTGTGCAGCCCATGTATTGATTCCATCCGATAGCTGCTGGGGGGCCCAAAACAATATTTGCACCGGGGCCAATCACTAGCTTGTTACGCCACTGCCAGGATAGCAAACTGACGTGTTTTTGCTGATGGGAACTTGGGTCCCCCTCAATGAGCCTTGAAAATGGACACAATGATTTTCAAGCCAATTTTAGGTCCGGCAAATGTCTGAGACTCATTTCTGGTAAGCCACATCAAAGTTGAGGGAAAATATAACTTTTCCTCTGGGGTGCGGACGCAGGCCCGGCTGCTGGGATTTGGGTAGGAGGACATGTGGCCGAAGCTTTGATCTTACAAGCCACGGGATTTGACAGCAAGATTTGGTTTTTAGATGATGACTCTATGGCTTGGCTCTAATGACGGTGGGTCTGCAAAACTGTGATTGGAATAATGTAGCTAACAATCCCTACAGGGGCAATGACACATGGACACTCACGCACACCAAGCACACACACTTAGAAAAAGAGTGGACCTGTGCATGAAATCACACTAAACCCATAAACTACTATCTGAAGCTTGTGGTGTTGCAGTGCTGGCTATCACTTCGGTATTTTAGGCAGGAAAGTAAAATAACAAGTTTAGACTTAAAGCCAGAGTGGTGAGTAAATCCTAAATCTTACTGGCTGACAAATGAAACATTTAATTTGTCAATGCTCTGTAGGGATTGCTTAGCAACACCCAAAACCAGGATGTTGCAGACTACACTGTAGGATTCGTCCTTAAATAGCCACTAATTCATACACTATGTGGGATTGGGATACTGAACTTGCTTTGCCCTGAAGACTTTTTCGTAAAATTACAGGAAGCCAGGGGCCTAAACCGGGCCTCTGTCAGGGTATCCTCCCCTACCCCTTTAGTTTTTTCTTGTATATAAACAAGTCTATGTTGATGCTTTTATTGTTTGATTTAAACGTACACAAATACATTTCCATGTATATCAATATGTGAATAGGAAAATAGTTGAAATGCCATCTGGCAACCTACTGGGGCCACACTTGTTTGCATGTTGGGGCATTTGCTGTTCAACTTTTACAGTAAAACTTAGCTAGTTGACCTAAAGATTTCTCTGTGAAATGGACCCACCGTTTGGTCCACATCTACCTAGGCAAATGCTTTCCTTCACACATAACGCACTTGACACAGGAGATTGTTTTTGATCCGTACTGGTTTACTCGTACAAACCACTGCTAGCAAACACATTTCAACCTGTCTTGAAGTTTTTAAACTTTATTGACAACTCAAGCCAGAGCGATCCACCGATGAGAAGATTTATTTAATATTTCATATACAGTCTGAGCACTAAGGTTGTTGCTTGACAATCAGACTGTACAGTGTAATCTAGTAAATCCCTTTGTAAAAAAATAATCAATGCAGTATGAGTTGCTAAATGCTAAAATGCTGTTCTCGGTTTGTCTATCATTTGAAGTTTAACATCTGTTGTATGTGGGCCGTCTGACAAACAGAGCAAGCAAAGGGACATCATCTTGAGGTCAGCGACGTTTAATATTAATACAGATAGCACTCCAATGCCAAAATCCAAGACTGACAAGATTCAACTCTCTTGAGCAGTGACTGCATGCTGCATCCCCTCTCCTTGACTGACTCCTCTCCTTTTCTCCTGCAGAGCAGGGAGTTGGCCCGTAAGCTGGTGGAGCACGGCCACAAGGGCACAGTCCTGAGCAGGGAAGAATTTGAGGAGAAGAAAGCAGCTGCACAGGCTGCGAAAAGCAACACTTTCTACAGCAGGAGCCGACCAATGTGAGTTAAATAATCACCCTAACCCACCATGCTCACTATTGTGTGCTTGACTAACAGGGGAGATACATTCACACCAACCACCAGTCCAATGCTAGAATATCAAAAGGCTCCCCTGAAAACTACATCTGGCTCTTTTCAAATCTGAATGTGGTCAGTGGATTTTGGAATCCATCACCATAGCTAGGAGAAAAAAAAGTGACCCTCTGTGTCTACTCCCCTCTATGTTAGTGTTATGTGGTTTATTGTATTGACTTCTCATTCAGTGTGAATAATATTTTAGATGAGTGATCCTCTGCTTAAAATTAGTTTCTTGTTTCTCTCTTGGTGGACGCTGAGAGCTCCCTGTGAAGAAATTCTGTATCCGTACCGTGATGCCTCAGCCACTTTGAGTTCCAAACCATACCTTACATGTTAGGCCAAGTTTTTATTTTTAATATTTCAAAATGTTCCTTGACTATCAAGTTGTTTTGCGTGACTTTACATTTTCAGGATTCCCAAAATATAGTTCTTTAGAAACAGACTGGCACTAGAAAAGGTACTTTGATACTTATTTTTCAGCAAAACACTGGCTTAAAGTTTTAAGGTATTCTTCCAAAAATAAGCATGCGCATGCGTTTGATTGCACCCTAACCTCGTCGATTACATGCAAATTCGAGGTAGTGCAAATGTATAATGTTTCAATTTGAAAATAATGTGCGAGAAACAAATAAAATAAAATTATAAATGATACTGACAGTTGCACTTCTCCAATGAAATGCCTCGTTATATACGCATTCTGTGTAAAAGTATTCATGGCCGAAACAATATTGTGAACAATTATATTGTTGTTTGAATTAATCAAACAAAAAAGGAGCCCGTAAAAATGTCTTGATGATGAATTCATTTTATTCACAAATAAGAAGCTAGCATTTTAAAATGTCATTTTATGACTTATTGTTGACTTATCACTGTTTAAGTCCTATAGGCTATACTTGACTTTCGATACTCTTGTAACCCCTTCAACACTGTTTGTGCATTCGCTTTGAGGGTCCGCCATTTTAAATGCCATCTAAACTAATTAGGGGGCAGTGGATGTCGGTTATAAAACTCCAAAGTCCGAATCTGCATTGATGCTAACTTTACTCCCTTTACTGATGCGACTGCCTCTAAAAACATTCAAACGGAAACCGGTCAAACAACAAAAAAGGGAATTTTGCAAAAGTCAAGCAAGATCATTAATGTTAGAGTAAAAACTAAAGAAATTACATCAAAGAATCTTCTGAGTTTTTGTTCTCCATTGTAAGTTTAGTTTGCTGCTTTTGAGAGATTTGAAAAGTCAGTTCCTGGTTTTGCCAACGGAAAGGACTTGACGCTGGGTTTATACACTACAACTTAATAAGTGACTACAAACGCCCGTCACCGAGTGGGTGGGTGTATGTGCCAGATTGGAACTGGGCCTATGTGTTGCTAGATCAAAGTGTCAGCTAAAAGTTTAACATATAAAATATAATTCACAACATCTTTTACTTTCATCCTGTGTTTTTTGAGACAGGATTTCTGTCTCCCTGCAACAAGTGGCAGCAGTATTATCTAGACTCTAGAGGAAAATGTAAAAGGCAATCTCAACTGAAGTTCTGCTCTGCTAATCAAGGCATGACAGCTCATAAAATCTGAATCTTTTATAGCCGTATCCGGTGCGGTAGCGGTTTGAGCAGCTTGTATAATTCTTTATGATTGCATTTTACAAAAGACAGGATAAATTGGAGTAATTCATCAAGTTCACATCCTACATGAACAAGGCTTTTATTTGAATGCCTGCCCATCTGTCTAAATTCAAACATAAATGGTTAACGTAAACAAGCTCAATGACAAAAACTACAAAGAGTCTTCTATAAACTGCCCCTCCTGAGGAAAATGATCACAGATATTGTTCTCATTCCTGATAAAGCCTCGTGGTTGTGGTATCTCCTTTGATGATACGCCAGAACAGACTCCAAATAAGACCATTCAACATGCACACACCCACACACATACCCATGATTTTGAAGTTTCCAAACATTAACCTGCTAGGTGTTGAATTTGATTGAACCCTCAGATGCTTATCCAAACGTGCAGATGTCTCGCTGTTTTGTCCCCCCTCCTTTCTCCAAACGTCTGTGAACATCAGTGACACTGGTGAAATGGGAGCCTCCACACCTGCAGTTACAGTGATATTAGGCCACAAAGCCTTTTATCTTGTCCCAACAGGATCCAGGGAAATGTCATACGGGAACATTGGGATGTTATAATATACACAGTAGTCTGTTCCGTCTCCAAGATCCACATCCAAGTAGAGATGGTTTCAAAGACTGTTTGTTAGGGTCCTCACAATGTTTGAGATACAGGATTAGAAACTCAACATTGACATCTAAAAAATCTATCAATTTAAATCTATAATCACCATAAATAGGTTTGTAGCTTAATTCTTCTGACAGTTTGGATTTAGTTAAACATTTTTACAATTGTAAGTCACACCATAAAAAAGCATCTTAACATGCTTAAAGGGCCCATGTCATGCTTTTCCGGTTATTACCCGTCCCCTTGTGTGTTATGAAGGTTTTTATGCATGTAAACGGTGTGCAGAGTCACAAACCCTCAAAGTACACCCTGTAGCGAGTAAAACTCTAACACAGAAAAGACCTGTCTATGCTGCCCCAGAACGCCTCGTTGGAGATTTCTCATTTTCCATTGTTTGCTTCCTGGGTTCTGTAACGTGTGAATACCCAAATCAACAACAAATGACCGGATTGGCCCAAATGGACCAATCCGCGGAGCTCCTCACACACCAGGATCTCTTGGCTAACTAACAGGGAGTCCCCATTGACTTGCATAGAGCTCCCTGAACGCTGGTAATAGACGAGATGGGATCGCGGAGAAATGCTCTCCGCAGACCCATTCTCACAGCGTTATAAACCTTTTTCTTACTCAATATCAAGCCACACTTATTGTTTTTACTTCGGCTGTGAGTGTTTGTGTGTGCTCAGGATGAGTTTCGCTGTTTCTCGCTGTATCGCCGACCCGGAAACCTGTCTGCTCCTTGCAGCAGCGAGCCTCGCAACGTCCCGACCAATCAGAGCACACTGGGCTCACAGGGAGGGGGGGGGGGGCAGGAGCTCCAACAAGCCGTTTAGGACAGATACCCCTTTCACACCAACGCAACTCCGGTTCAAGCTCCGTGCTAGAGCTTTTCAGGTTCGGAACCGGTACTTCGGTTTAGCTCCGGCTCTTTTCACACCGCTCAGAGACCGACTGGTGCTGCCGCTGCTGCGTCATGACGTCACAGTTTACGTCGCTGATTTTCTCCCCAACGGAGCTCACCTCACAACAACAACGGGCCGGGGACTGCGTTGCTTTTAATCATACGAAGCCAGATTAAATTAAATAATGACTTCTCCAACCTTATACTTTTCTCCAGAGTGCCGTGGTTCATTGTTTATTAATGTGTTTCAGCGGCATTTACCGACCGCTGCAGTGCTGGCCGGCTGCTCTTCCACGAGTGTATTCTCCCATTAGCTCCGGGTTAGCTCACACGGCTCTAAAGTATTCACTGTCTGACTGTCACACAAGCAGCTGATACATATCCCCAGTTCCCCTTAAGTGAATGTGTGTCAGTCTGAATTGACGCTGTTTGGTGTCAGTCTGAATTGACGCTGTTTGGCATCACAACGCTGTTATGAAAGTTTCTCTGGTATAACATGGGTGATGTTAGCATAGCAACCGAAGCTAAACTGACTACTTGCTAAGCCGTTTTCTACAGGCACTTTTTACCGGCGTATTTTTCATTATGATTCTACTTGTGATAGTCGGACATGACAACCTGTGCAGCCCATGTATCTCTACAATGATCAATAACAGCGAACGGATGGTCAAAGTAAGGTACAAATAAACAGAATCACACGAAGCCTGGTTAGTGTTGCCTGACTTTATAAAGCGTGTTTTTTTTTTACAAGTGTGTGGTTGCGTTCTAGTCACTTTGCTCAGCGCTACTGCTTGTTACAACTTTTATTTGCCGTACTCGCCTTAACTGTTAGCTCAGGTTAATCTCGCCCCCCTCCGACGTAAGCGTGACGTATGCGGTTCTTGCTTCTAGACGGACAACTTTTTGGTGCTCGAAACTAACCGGATTCCGGAGCTTAGAGGCTGATCCGCTGCGGTGTGAACAGGGAAACCCGGTGCTTTTCAAGCACCAGCACCGAACCGGCCCCGAAACACCGTTGGTGTGAATGGGGTAAGAGATTGAATACCTGGTGAATACACATACTCTACACTACAGAGATGCTGTATGAGAAACCAATGTGATTTTGGAAAATTGCACAATTTAAATCTATTCTAGTAGACCTCAACAATGGAAATATGATCAGTAGAAATGGCCATGACATGGGACCTTTAAACAATAAATAAATGCTGCATTTATTTTATATAGAGTGGCGCAGTAATGAGTCTTCAAACCGGGAAATTACTTGGCATTTAACCACTTCCAGTTGCCTCGTCTCAAAGTCATCGTGATGGTTAGAAGCCTGAAAAAAGGTCTATGGTTAACACAAGCTGAAGAGATTTTCTTATTATGACATAAAACACACCAGTTCACACCCCACTTGAGAATGTCTGAAGTGTCTGTGTGTCATAAAAACGGCAGTTGCTAACAAGCAGCTAAGTAAACATTTTGTTAATGGATCCCTTGCCATGCTAACTTCAGGGTTGGCCTACAACAATACGTCACCACTGCGCCACTTTATTTCTGCTTTTATTCATAAATATTTTACAAAAAAGAACTTGGCTTCTGTTGTTGAACACAAAAATAACAACTAGCTTTATAGCCACACATATTCAAATTATTCAAAGTTAGACATGGAAATAAGTATTGTTTTGTTGTAGCAAAACTCAGATCTGCATATTCTCAAACACTGTTCATATCTATATCTACGAAGAGCAACGCACCTATTTATTGTATCATCCATCAGATCTGTGGATAATTCGGCTAC